TCCCAGCCATTTGAGGTTCAGGCTTATGGTTTTCTTGGCAATACAGCTGTTTTCAAAAGTAAACAGGTTTCTTCCTCCACCTCAGGGCCTCACATATCAAGTAAGCCCTTACCACTGAGCCACATCCCCAGCCCTTTTTAAATTTTATTTTGAACCACTGTCTCTCTAAGTTAACCATGTGCCTGTAGGGAAGCCCTCAGTTCTATTCTCGGCATACTCCTTCTCTTTGTTGAATGCTTTTGTGGTTTGGCTTCTATGTCTTAATTAACTTAATGGATAGTACTTTAAATGAGTCTAGTTTAGTCTATGAGCCACACCTTTTATCTTTTTCCCTGAACTATTCTTATTGAAAGACTGAATTGAGAAAGACAACCTTATGTGTATCTTGAGACAGCTGGCTTAATCTTGAGACAGCTGGCTTAATCTTTTTGGAGTGTTAACATGTGTTTGTCATTCTTTGAATTTGAGAATGAAAGCCTAAAAGCTAAGTGTTGGCCTGGGATGAAGCTCAACACAAAGGCTCTGGGTTCAACCCTCAGTCCTGAAGAAAATTAAAAAAGCTAAGTGTTAAGTGCTAGTTTGCTAGTTGGCCTTTTTAATTGAAAAATTTTCTCAGGTTTTTTTTTAATCTGTTGGTAAAGAGACACAGGCACTTCTTTCTATCCTCAAGCCTGACTTTATGGACTCTGCTCTCTTTGTGTTTTGTTTTTAAACCAGTCATTTATTTTCTGAGCTCATGCTTTATCACGTTTTAAAATACAACCAATAAGCCAATAATAGCCAGCAGATGCTCTGACTTTTGACTTTCAAACTTTATCACTACATCAGCTAATTCTTTAGGTATAGTATCTCCTTTCAAGTTACCAGAGACAACTGTTTTGCCAAATGTTTTGCCAGCCTACAAAATCTGCTACCTCATTCCTTGTTGCCTGGCCACATGTTTTGTTGTTAAAGTCAAGCATCAGTCAGGACAGGCCATGTGCTGATGCAGTAACAGATAATGTCCAAATCTCTGTGATTTAAAAGAACAGAAGTTTACTTATTTGTTTGTTCAAGGACACTAAAACAAATGTTGTATTTAACGGTTTTCTTTGGCTCTGTTATCATATCTAGTGTCAGCCAACACTTCAGTATAGAAAACAGAATAAATTTTCCAATGGGCCAATCACAGGAGGTTGGTTCTACCGACAGAAAGGCTGAAGAAGGCAGAAACAAAAACACAAAATGGATTGGTTATTTTGAAATTACTGTCCTTATAGAGGAGGGACAGGGACACAGAACAATAGAAAAATAACTGATAGGTTAACGTCAGATTACTTGTTTTTTGTGAGGAATAAAGAACTTTGCTAATCTATCAACTGAAGCTGATATATGTGGGGAATTTAGGCGTTACTTCTCTGATATTGATTTCTCAGAAGGCAGGCTGAGTTTAAGCATGGTATGAATGATTCTGTTTCAATTATTAGCTTGGTCTACTGGAGCCTCATATGGGGTCTTACTCCAAAACAATGGCTGCCAGTAATTTTCATTTAACACTTGTTTGTAGAAGTTTTCTTATGAATTTGAACCTGGTCTTCTGTTGAACATTGTTGGTTAATACTCCAGATTCCTTCTTTTTTTTTTTTTTTTTTTTTAAATGACATGTGGTTTAGAAAGGAGGAGTAAGGAATGAATGCAAATATTCTGTATCTAGAACTAACATAGCTTCTGGCAAATAAGCATAAGCTCTTATCAGTAGTTTGGCTGTATATATCAAAGTATTGGATATCCCAGGACAATGGCAAGTGTGAGTCGTACTTGGCAGCTTCACAGGGTGTTCTTCCCCTTCTCTTCTTTTTCCATCTGCAGTTTCTATATGGGAAGCTTAGGGTTCGGCAGAGCTCGACATCAGGGAGATGAATAAAACTATGTAAAACATAACAGTGTTTTTCACAAAGATAAAAATGAATATAACATAAAGAAAACCCAGAGCCTCAGTCATGCCAGGCTAGCTATCTACCACTGAATCATATCATCAGCCCCCTTAAAAGCAATTTTTATTTTGCCATTTAAATTAATAAAATAATTCCAATCTATATTGCCTCCTACCTTAATACAGATTGCTGATATAACATTGAACTGTATTTTAAAAACTCTACACTTTTTTTCCTCACTGTTGAATTGCTAACAAAACTTTGAAATGGCTCAAAATTGAGCAATAGGGGAAACAGAAAGAAGAACCCAGGATTTAAAATAACTAATAATATGTGTGGCCTCCCCTGCAGTGTTTTTTGTTTGTTTGTTTGAAGTGAGACCTCTCCTCACTTACCTGTTCTTAGCAGGATGCAACCAAACAAAAAGTTGTTTATATGGGGGCTTTTCCTCCTAGGGTTCTGGTAACTGCTGCTGGGTAAACTCTTTCTTTTTCTTTCTTTCTTTCTTTTTTTTTGGTACAGAATGAGATTGCTTTCTGGGTTTTACGTAGCTTTTTCTGTCTATTTATACATATCTTCTATAGTATTTTCCATTGCTGAATTCCTTTTTATTTTTAATTTCTATGTGTACTAACAGTTCTAGGTGCAGAATTTTATTCTTTTCCTTCCGATCTCTAGCTTCTCTTCACTAACAAGAAAGTTAAAGTACAGAGAGGTGGAAGGAGTTCCAGGGAGCTGGTTCTGCTGGCTACTTCTGGAAGCAGTTGTTCTGAATCCTAATTCAGGGCTTTACCTCTGACACCAGGCTGCTCCCACACTATGAACCACGCTGACAATGAACTCTTTTGTTAGCTGAATTGACTAATAGGGATAAACTGTCTAGTTTTCTGTTACCTCCTGCTGGGAAAAGCAAGCTTCCAAACCTTCTTTGGGCTGTGTGGGATTTATTTTGTAAGCTTCTGAAAAGATAATGGGAAATGTGTTGACTTGGTCTTGTATTGGAATTTGTTACTTTTAATCTTTTGGGGCTTAGAATTTTATTTTTCCATAGTATTAGTGCTCACCAAGTATGGAGCAACTGGTTTGTATTGTGATCAAATTAACAGCAGGAAGGTTCAGGAGAGATAGTTTCCTCCCTCAACCCCCTTGAATAGAAAACTGGGTACTAGGTGTACCTCGAAAAAAGGCCTTTTGTAGGTACCCTTATATATCTGGCTATGTAATATGTACAGTTTGACAAGTGTAATATGTACAATCTGACAGGCTTACTGGATGTTCTTTAGGGCTAAAATAAAAGAAGCTGTGAAAGAAGCCATTTTTGCTCCTGAATCTTTAAACTCAGTTTTTCTCTCTCTCTCTCTTCCTCCCTTCCTACCCCCCCTACCCCCGCCATCCCTGCCTTTTTGAGACTAGGGAGTCTTGTTGTGTTGCCTAGGCTACTGTGGTGGAGTGATTTCCCACCTAGCTTCTCGAGAAGCTGGAACTACAGGTGTACACCACTGTACCTGGTTTAAACTCAATTTTAACATCATGATTTGGGTTTGGTTAATGAATTCTGCTGAGGGCAGTGAAGTGGGAAACCAGCATTTGGTGTCTCCTTTGGACTTGTTCTGCATTCACTGCACAGCATTTGACAACACAACATTAACTTTTCAGGATGATTTTTTTAAAGTTTTTATTTTATTTTATTTTTATTGAGTTTACTGGTACAATCTAGGTATACAATACAGTTACATTCATTACTGGGATCCTATACCTTCACATGACAGGTCTTGGTTCTCATTTTTTCCCCTTGTCCCTGCCCTCCCTTTACCCCCTCCCTCACTCCACATTTATAAACACTTTATTTCCATTTTTTCATTTTCTCGTATTTTTTTCTTTTCCCTTGTTCCCTTTCCCCTACCCTTCCCACTTTCCCTACACCTTTAGGCCTTTTCTTCCTATTTCATACTATTAATTATCCCATTATGATCTTTTCAGGATGCTTTTAAATAATGTCAACCTGTTCAGGTGCCTCAGCTCTATCTCTTTTTGGTACCAGGACATTGCGCTTGCGAGGCAGGCAGTGGCACCACTGAGCTAAATCCCCAGCCAGCCCTATCTCTTAATAGCAATGAAAGTAATTGTGATGGGTATTCACTTAGTATCAAATAAATATATGAAACAAATCAAGTATTTATATACCTAGAAGCAAGCCTTTATTTTTCAGACCTGGGCAGAAGCTGTGGTTATTTTTGGACCTGGCAGTTGCCATCGTTCCTCTTGTGCAGTGTTCCCACATCTGCAGACTTGGAACCATCAGGGAAGTTAGGCACAGGAACTTACACTGTCAAATTAAATCAACATATATGGGAAAGAAGACTAGAAATGAGTGTTAAAAGCTTTCCAGATGATGCGTAACTCACATTAGGATTGAGAACTTCTAAGCGTTTAGGAGAGAGAGTTTCTCTGCTTTATACAAAAGAAATAGATGTAACACAAGTTATTCTTAGATTTCTGCCTCCCTAGGGATAATCACGTCTGCTCAACATCTCTCAAAGTGCCCTTTCTCTTCTTTTCTCCTTAAATATTATTGACTCACATTTTACAAGTCAGCTCATAAGGCAAAACCTGAAAAGTGGAAAAGTGCACGTGAAGGGACCTTGTGGTTTAGAGACCAACTCTTGGTACACCCAGACCTCTCTTGGCACACCCAGCACAGCTAGTTTTTCCTCTGTGATTGGAACAGATTAGTTTCTTTGGCTACAAATCTGATTAAATAGCATGTGGGAGCTTTGATGTATATAAAAACATGCATATCTTTAATCGGAATAGCACTCAGCTTGGCAAGATACTGAAGCCTCAAGAAGCACAATTAAGAGTGGCTTAGGGAATTGCAGAGTTTCTCGTCTCACTCAATCCCAAAGCTGACTCATTCGTTGAGTTGAGCATGGGCAGTCATGGGCATCACTGGCTTTGTGAATTTCTGTGCCTTATAATAGAATTCAAAGAAGCTCAATATTAAATGCATTTTGTTATTGAATATTAAAAAACTGCACTCTTTTTTGCATGTATAGGATTCAGTAGCACTCTCTTTCTGTCCCGCAGCATTCCCATGGTTCGGCATGGATATTGGTGGAACTCTGGTTAAGTTGGTCTACTTTGAACCAAAGGATATTACAACCGAAGAGGAACAAGAGGAAGTGGAGAACCTGAAGAGCATCCGGAAATATTTGACTTCGAACACGGCTTATGGGAAATCTGGGATCCGAGACGTCCACCTGGAGCTTAAAAACCTGACCATGTGTGGGCGCAAAGGGAATCTGCACTTCATCCGCTTCCCCAGCTGTGCCATGCATACATTCATTCAGATGGGCAGCGAGAAGAACTTCTCCAGCCTGCACACCACCCTCTGTGCCACGGGAGGTGGGGCTTTCAAGTTTGAAGAGGACTTCAGAATGGTAGGTCAGGCTTGTCTCTGTTAAAACCTTCTCACATGTCCATAATCATGATATTGCATGCTTGTAAACAAGTCTACTAGCCTTGGGACTTGGACAGATTTACTTTAGCTCTGTATCTCTGTTTCCTCATCTGTAGCTCCTACCTCATAGGGTTCGTCGAAGAAGGCTTAAATGAAACAGATGCAGGGACTTACACCTTTAATTTTAGCTGCTTTGTAGGCTGAGACAGGAAGATCGTATGTTCGAGGCTGGCCTGGGCAACTTAGACTCCACCTTTAAAAAGTTAGGAAAGGAAAGGAAAAAAAAAAAAAACCAACCAAGAAGAATTAAATGAGGTAATATTCGCTTGGTACTTAGTAAGTGTTCAATATAGACTAGTTAACATCATCTTCATTTCTTTTGCAGTTAATGCTGTGTGCTGTACTAAAGACAAATGATATAAATCCTGTTCTAAAGTATATGTTTCAATTAGAGTTTCCCACAGACTTTTACTACATAATCATGATGCTGGTTTCAAGTCTATATCTGTATCTATGTGTATATTTGTATCTGTCTTACTGAGGCCCACAGGAAGGCTTTCTGTAAATCCTACTGAAAATTATTACTTCTTTCTACCTATTTATTCTTGTGTCTTTTTTGTTATATTCAGAGGTTTTGCTCACACGTAAATATGAAATCTTCAGTACTGTCTGTAGGTAAATTTGTTTATTGGTGAATCCCATTTAGGGAGCATGATCTTTTGTAATAGGGATACTGCTGCATGCAGATGGGCAATATATGTCAATATGCACTGCTCATTTGGATTTAACAAATGCTGCTAAATGTAAGATGTAGATTAGTAAGGTAAAGTGCAAAGTCTCTCTTTATTTACCAATCTCTTAACATCTCTTTCAATTTTCCCATGTCTTGTAGTCAAGATAATAATCATTGTATTGCCTAATCTCTTCTCACAGACTAAAGTGAAAATAAAGTGAAGCAATAAATAGATGTAGATATATCTTGGAAAATAAAGGGAGCTACATTTTTAAAAAGATGATTGAACATACAAGAAGGAAAGACTAAAAGATTTTAGGATTGCTTTTATCATAAAGTTGAAAATATACTAAGGTAAGGATAAAATACATTTTTTCAGTGAATATAATCCCAGCTACTAGGGAATCTGAGGCAGGAGAATTGCAAATTCAAGTGTGGCCTGGGTAATTTAGTGAGATCTTGTCTCAAATAAGAAGTTAAAAAGATATGAGCTTGTAGCTTAGTGGCTGAATGCTTGCTTACCACACCCGAGACCCTGGGATCAATCTCCAGCACCACAAAAACAAACAAACAAACAAACAAACAAAACTTATATATTATTTTCTCTTTTTTTTCTTTTTTTGGTACCGAGGATTGAACTTGGGTCCTTGTGCTTGCCAGGCAGGCGGTGGAACCACTGAACTAAATCTCCGGCCCATATATTATTTTCTCGAAGCCTGTGGTATCACTGCATTTTGTGATAGAAATAGTGTAACTTAGTCTTGCTATAAAGTCTGTCATCAGTGGATAATGAATCAACACATGCTTCATAGTATTTAATATAGCTATAAATATGAATTTTATTTGTGTCATCAAACAGAACACCATTTACCTCATTGATTTTAGTAATTTCTATAGGACTCTGTCGATACAGAACCCCTAGACAAATATCCTAAGTAAGACTGATTATCTTCAGGTTTTGACTTTTTACTTCTGTGTCCCCTTTTTCCTACCCAGCAGTGGATTTTACTATTACCATTTATTTAAATAACCCATAGGATCTTTTTCACACCACAGTAGTTCAGTGACCAGTTTTGAAATGGAAAAGGTTAAAGGTCTATGGACATGAATAAACTTGAGTCCCTAAATGAAAAAGGGTTGAACCTGAATTCTAGTCCTATTTCTTCATTTACCTACGTGGTTACTTCGGGGAAGACATAGCCTTCCTGTGGGGCTTGTTTTGTCATTTGCAAAAGAGTGGATGTAGAGTGGAAAAAGGAGGGCGGATTTTTAGGACATTAGAATTGGAGATGAGCACATAGCGTGCTTATGTGACATGCGTCAAGACACTAAAGCTTACAGCATAATCAAGAGGTTCTACACTAGTGTAATGCCTCCTAAGTAAGATCTGGGTGTTCTGTGAGCTCACCAGTCACTCAAGGACACTGTGCCTGTCCGTTTCCCCTGGAGAGCCTGAAGTGAATAAGGTGACTTGGGAGATTTATGCAACCTCTGTCAGTGCCCCCATCCCCTGGGGTAATGTACACCCTGGGAGAAAGTTACTCAATAAGTGTTTATTGTGGGCAAGTGTTTCTCAAGGTTCTGAACTCAGAAATGTCATACTCTCCTTCACGCCGGCTCCTGGAGGCTGAGTAGATTGGAATAAGGAGCATGTCTGTATTATTTACTAAATAGTCTAGCCAGTTTAGGTGTTCCTCTATGAAAGAAAATTCCCTGGACTTCCCTTCTGTTTCTGCGCTCAGTCTTGGCTGACGTTTCTTCCCATATCCTGTGTGACAATACACTAAATAATGTGCTCATATGATTCCAAAGTATGTCAGGATGGGTAGATTTTACAGTCCTCTTTCCTAAGCATTTATTCTCTCACTTAACAAATAATTTATCATGCTTCTTCTCTGCACCAAGTACTGTTAAGAGCAAAAAAAAGCACCTGTACCCCCACCTTGAGCTTGTATTCTAGTAGAACAGATAGTCATAATCGAATGCATAAGTGAATGTAGGATCTATCAAATGATGGTAAGTGCTGTGAAGGGGAAAGTCAAATCAGGTTAAGTTGGATAGTGAGTTTGGGGAGGATCTTATGTGATGAAGTGACGTTGGCACAAAGATCAGAAGTAATAGAGCAAAACCTCGCAAGTCTGGGAAAGAGTATTTTAGACAGAAAGAGTGGTGAGTGGTAGGGAACTTAGGTGTCCAAAATACAAATTCTCCTTTTTTGGAGTAGAAAAGTGGATAGAATTGGAAAGGATCAGTATATACTGTTGTGTATTTTAATCAATTTAATAAACAATAAAGCAGTGTGTATACATAAAGTTTTGTTATTGTTATTTTATAAAACCACTATTTTTAGTGTAAAGAACTTGGCAGATAGAAAATTTTAAAAAGTTACCTGAGTAATTAGGGCTACACCAAAATATGTAAACAACATTTAGCAATTATTAGGTGTAAAGCATCCTTGTTATATGTTGTAAATGTATTAAATCCTTAAATAATGTTAACTATTCTTCATCCCATTTAGAATGTACAAGAAAGAGCTATAAACTGTAAAACAAGCATTAAATTAGATCTCTGTATAGATACTTTCATCTGGATAAAGTTGCATTTCAATTTTCTTCTTCCCTTTTGTATACTCCATTTCCCTCCCTCTCTCCCTTCCTTTCCTTTTTTTAAAACATTTTAAGATTACCATTCCAATTAAAGTTATGACTAGCAAAACTTAGTTTTCAAAATTAGTGATTTACTTAATCTAATTTTAAGTAGCCTGCAATATTGATCAGTCAATGAGGAAATCCATGATTTAGAAAACTGTCCCGCAGGTGGGGACCCCTGCATGGCCGTACACCAGGACACAGGACATTGTAGGTTTCTGATCATTCTGTGTTTATTCCCATTATTATTTTGTAAGTTTTGATTTAAAAAACTCAGCAGAATTTATTATTTACTAGTTTTAATATTTTCACCCACTACCATACTTCTTAATTTCAACAAGAATATTCTTTAGTATTCTAAACAACAAAAAATATTTATAGAACAAATAGTCATCCTTCCTGTCCAGGTAGCTGTTTATTCCAACTGATACTTGTGAGTTTTGTTCAGTTCAAAGCTAATTTTATTTAGAGATTAGAAAAGACTCTTAATCATGTCGTTGAATAATAGGATGATCTGTCTTAGTAACTGGCTCATAGCAGGGGGAAAAAATACCCAAGACCTACAGATTAAACGAGGAAAGGTTTTTGACTCACAGCTTTTAGAAGATTTCATCTGTAGTTTACTGGCTCCAAAGTAGGAAGGGCATGGTAAAAGGCTGTGGGGGAGGAAAGCAGCTCATATCATGGCAGCCAGGAAGCAGAGAGAGGGAAGGGAGAAGCCTTACTGCACATCATAGATGAATCCCCTGACAACTGTAGTGCCTTCATGACCCAATCACTTTCTAAAAGCCTAGCCTCTGGACACATGAGCCTTTGGGGGACAGTCTAGACCTAAATCATTCTACCTGTCCTTTGAATAAAAAGGATATAAAAACAGTCTTATTTGATTAATGTGAGATTTAGAACAGGGGAAAAATTTTTCTGAGTGTTTTCATCAACTTTAATAAGGACCTTATTCCAGATACTCTAAGAGAACAGCCCTAAAGTATTAGTAATGGTGGGGAAAAGATTAGCAGACGAGGGTAGGTTAACTGGGAATATTTGGAATCTAATTAGACCATTTAAGTGCATTTATTTATTAGGTTGGTTCTTATTATTAACCTAGGGACTGATTTGGGGTTTTTTGCATTAAATAAATATAAATTTTAATAAAACACTCACATAGTGTTATCAAAATGATATAATAATAACAGTTTTCAAATAGCCTGCATTCATAGCATTTCAATACTTTACAGTATTTATGACCATCTTTAGATTTTACAAACAAGCCAAACATCTCATGAAAATGAAATGAGACTAAGTTAAAAAAATAAGACATAGAAAAATGCACACAGAAGTTCATTATTTTAGTGTCCAAATGCAAATGTTTTCTACCAAAGTTAGCCACTAGCTTTTAGAAGTGAACTGTATATCACTGTGCTTCCATCAAGATGAAAAATTCATTCAGCTAAAGTTGCCCCCACAAGTATGGCTATAATCAACTTGACATTCCCACAGAAGCAAACTGCACACTGGCTTTCCATACTCAGAGGCAGGCCAGATACGGACATCTAGAGATCTGATATTTACAGTATGACACTCAGCTTCCTTCCTGTCTAA